TGCTGGGGAAAAGCTCAATATTTTTATCAATAAGTCCACTCAAGGGTAAACCAACTTTAGCGAGTGCTGTCTTTTTGGAATTAACCTAGTCGCAAGGTTAAGCACCATCCAATCCACGCGTACCGGCGAACGACTTTGGTGATGACCTTCGAAAGTCTTTGCGCCACTTATCTCATTGCTCTAAGGGAAAGTCACTCAGCCAGCTTTGTAGTGTGCTGAGGCTGCTAATTTTTATAAAAACACACTATCTAAGTGTACTATTCATTAATTCTCTTAGTTGAACCAAAATTGATTTAAAGAAGTTAGCGTTCCTGTAAATGAAGTGTTTCTACAAGAGATCCCTTTTCCTTAGTTTTGTCAAAAAAAAATTGCTATTTTATCGGAATAACGTAACCCTTAAATGGCCTTAGCCTCTTTTAAAAATCTGCATTTGGAACGATGTAGCCTGGAATAACTAAACTCGCCTTTCCTAAAGCAGCAGTGATTTTTTGGTGTTAGATTTCTTTGAAAGTAGTGGATCTTTAAAAATAGAGAGATGTTAATTACTTTCTATTGAATAATTCTTCTATCAAAAAGTCACTTTACATGCAGATTTTTTGGAGTTTTCCCTTTCCTTTAGTGAGAGCCGAAGCCGAATTGTACGGTTTTCTCAGCTCTTTCGTGGCTCATTACTAAACGACCGTTATGGAGGATGCCTTCGTTCTGTACAGAACTGTCCATTTATTCTTATTCCTGTTAACAATATTGCAATAGTTTTTTTTTTACACGATGGGACCTCAGCTTAACCGCGTAATTAGTTGTCGTGGTCAAAATCCTTAAATTTACCAGAGCAAGAGCTTGAGAACTTGAGAACCAGAGCGAACACGAGAACTAGAGCTTTTGAGTTTAAGATTCGAAATTGAACAAGTATGATGACAAGGCCTGTATCAATCAAATTATAAAAAACTTTATGCAGATTTTCTAGAAATAAACTAACTAACTCCTTTCTCATTGCCTTTGAAAGTATGTTAGTCTACATTTCGAGCGAAAAAGTCCTCGATTTATTAGCTTCAACGAAGAAAACATTAAAGTATCACCTCACGAGAAATACTTCATAGAGTTCTCGACCTGAATAGTTCGTAGTTTCGTTCGGTTAGTATCGTATTTCTTTGACACTTTCGCAGTAACGTCGGCTCATCGCTGAGCAAGAGGGATTAGCACGACGGCGGTGCCGTCGTCGGCGGCGGCAATTTGTTGCCTCCGCGATTTATATCGCTCATCTGCTTTTGAAGGCATTCCGATCAGGTTTCAAAGAAAGACCATTTCTGCTGTCCCGAATTTTCACAGTATTGTGTTTTGCACTTAAATACAAGTAAGGAGCTTTCCAAAATCCACTAATTCGGCGTACAGCGCTCAGACGCTTGCAATGAAGTCCAAGGGAGCAGTTTCCAGGTCACCAAATCCCGCAATGGTGGAAGTGCTCTCCGTGTGATCATTTCCATACCCATCGCAATGTGAATAGAAAAAAAACTCCGTTGATTATCGAGTTTTTGAAATTTTTCATAGTGTTCATTCAGATTTCTTTTAGGAGATCTAAAACAGAAAACTCCATTAACTTTAAAAAAAGTTGAGACCTACGGTTCTCAGTAATTCTAATAAGAGACAGAAATCATGGTAACCATTAATCTTGGTACTCATTTTTAACTGTTTGCAATCTCTTTTTAGCATCATATGTACTTTCTTTTTGATACTAATAGAAATTTTCTCATATCATGTTTGAAAACACCACAGAGTAACTCGTCCTCACAGCATTCCAGAGTGAATGATTGAGAACCTACAGATTAAAATCATTGGTGTCATGGATGTTTTAGAAAATGAACAGGACAGCAGAAGAAGAGGTCTTGAACGAAGTCGATACTAGAACGAAAAGTGTTTCACGAAATAATAAACGTATTATGAGCTTCTCTACTAAGAAGTTCTAGGCTGATTCTAGCAATATTTTAAGGTTTATTTACTGCCCGATCTCTTCCCTTGGAAAGGTATAATGCGAAATATAACCACAGGGATACTGAAACGTCACTAAGATCCACAACCTCAATTGGCCATCGAACCGGCGATTAACCTTACCAAAGGCTGGTGTACTATCCGCCACACTAACTGAGGTCCTGACTGCCTTTTTCTTACCCGGTTTTTACCCTAACGGTTCCATTAGCAATCAGCCACTAACGAGAATGTTCTGGGGAGCGAAATCGGCATCGAACCCAGTTAAGCTGAAAACGTATTCGATATAAACGATGTTTCAACTTTTATTTACTGCCCATTCTTTTCTGTCAATGGCAGCTGCATTAATAATGATAATATGATACTTACGTGGCAATTGTTTAACTTTAGAAGAAATAGTGCTTTGTGCAACTAGCTAGCCCTATCATGAGCCTTTCAGAAATACATTAAGCATCTTCACTAGTTAGAGGTCACTTAATCAATTAATTAATAGAACAATAGTGAAAAAAAAGACATTTGAGTGAGTATTATTATGCACTATGGACTGACTTTAATGTTTGTCAGTTTTAACTTAATAATCCAGAAGGGTTTTAATCTTTGTATTTTCCTTTTATGTCTTTTGCCTTCCCCACTTTTCAGGAAAACTCGTCCATAACCGCGAGTGTTTGTTAGCTTTAGCACTTACTGATTGATTACTTGCTAAATCACGAAGATCTCAACTATAGTTCAGGCTTTTACTCTGCTGTGTATCTGGTTAAAGAGCCAGTAATAGCAACTTGTTCAGTCCATTTTGGCCACTGGAGCTATTTGTCTTCGATCTATCATCTCAATTTGTTCGCAAACAATTTAGTGCTCATTGTCAGCAGTGGTGGGCGTAGATCGGACGGATTCAAACGGTTGGAAGCTCAGTTAGAATAGTAGTCGGCCGTACGTTGGAATTTCTTAACTACTGCTTCGGTTCTTTATAAAAACACAACCGGTTTAGTGATCTACATCTTTATCACTTCTGGGAACACTTTTCTATTTTGGACATATTGAGAATTATATGGCATTTCAGCAATCTTCCAGTGATTTTCTGGCAGTTCGATGAAACCATGCACAGTTGCTATTTTTAATTAGTAACTGGTTACGATGACGTTTTCAATCCCACTTATTTATTGGGAAGAATTGAATTAGGAATTACCAACATCGACAGATTGGCGACGAAGCTGGCTTCTCTATAAAAGGCGATTATTTCCCAATTATTAAAATATTTCAGGAGTTCGAAACTTTGTAAATAAGAACGCAAATTCTTATACAGCGTACTTTTGAATTTGAATGTTCTTGGAAACGAAAGCTCAAACGAACTGGCAACGAAATTCGAGTAATTGAAATTTTCAAGGGAAGAAACTGGCCAATGCTTACACGTCGTTTGATTCGCAGGGGTCACGTCTTCAAGAATGTGTTAATTCATTCGTTCTCTTCAAGAAAAAACTGTTTACCAAGCTTCCTGTCGTTTCTATGACTATTTTTCACAGCTATTTAACTTGCTCGTTGTCCTAAACCAGTCAGTGAAGATGTTGGCACGTGAGTGGAAGACAAGCGGAACAGTCATGAATTGCTGTTGCTCATAGAACTACCAGTAGTGAAGTCAAGTAGCCTCGGCGATTCGACAAAGGTGTTGGCGACGCCGCTTCGTCCGCTTGCGTAACTCCGCTTCTTCCGTCGCTTCTTACGCAACGTGCGTCGGCGTCTGCTGGCCAGGCGGCTGCGCATAAATCTCCCAGTCGTCGTGTCATATGAAGTCAGTCCAGCCATGTTTATGGCTCTTTATGGGCCACCAGGACACGACAAACCATTGTTCCACTCGGCTTTTTTACCACAATACTACTGACCGTCACCTTATGAGGACAATGTAGACTATTATAACATTCTAGGGTTGCTTAAAGGCGTCGAATACAGCTTTGGAAAAGAGCGGGTCGAAGCACAGAGCGATTATAACACATTAGGGCTACTACAAGCTCCATTAAATTGATGGACAAGCTGGAGGAATTAATAAAGGAAACCTTAGATTATTTTCTTTGCGTCATCAAAGAGCAAGATGAAGAAAGACGGTTTAATGTATCAATCAACTTTAATCATTCACAACTAATTGTTAGCGGACGATATAAACAAGGGAGTGAGAGGTTCATATGATTTTTTGAAAATGCCGTAGAAACTAAGAACTCTTGGTGTCATCTTCGGTGAAGATTTAGAAGAAATTGTACAATGCCCGGATCACGCCTTTTGTTGAAAATATTGCGTCTCACTCTTTTCTAATATCAAAGAGACCAATACTTAACTGATGGGCAGATGTATTCATTGTATTCAGTCTTTTTTCTGTAAAAACCAATTTCATACGTGACCCAATGCGCGCGGATCGCTACACTTCCTTCATTCAAACTGTTTTCTCGCGTGCCTCATCAACGAAGGACTTCGAAAATGCGCTTATGTTCAACTGCTGCTTGAGGACTAGGTGTTCTTCATAAGTGCTGCTGAGTCCTGGTCGAGTACATTTTCCCTGAAATTTTGGTACAACTGTGTTAAGGCCTTTTCAGGTCTTCACCATGGGCACATGCTAGTCCTTCTGTGTTCTTTAGTATACCGACAGAACACTTCACGGACAAGTGCAACACAAATTTCCATATTTCGGAAAGGTGGGAGGCTTGTTGGGACGGTGTTGAACCAGCGACCAGTGACGTATTATTGCAAGGGATCTCTAAACAGTGTGTTTTCCTAACTCCTGAAGACTACTAAAATGAAAAATTAAGGTAAAATACTAATAAATTTTATCTGGTTACTTAGTGGAAACCTCATAGAAAGCGGCTCTGAAGAAGGCGAAATTCGCCGAAACGTCAGCTTAATCGTGAACAAAGAATAGTAACACCTCGCGTTTGCTCAACAAAAATACGAAGAAAATCACTTTATCTGGTTAGTCTAAACACCTCTAAAGATTTATTATTAGGCTGTATACATTATATTTAGGGCAAACATCAACAGTCTTAAACAAAGTTGTGGTTCCGGTCAAGTTTCCTCAGCTCCACTATACATTCGTACTTCGGTGGAGACACTGTTAGCCCCAGAATCCGACTGGTTGACAAAGCCGTTCCAGAAGTTGGTTTGAAGTCGAACTGCTTCAGAAGATTGCTGAAAATTAAGAACAGCTCCGCCCTTGCCAACGACTCACCTAGACACTGCCGTTTCCCCACTGAAAACGGTAGGAATTCATCGATTCGACGCAATTTCCCGTGCACGTCCAGAAATCTTTCCGGTCGAAATTCTTTGCAATTCTCAAAGATGCTCTCGTCATTCATTAGAATAGAAATTTGCGGTATAACAAGGGTGCCCTTGGGGAAATGGAAGCCATCCATGGTGACGTCGTCGCTCACAGTTCGCATCAAGTTGATTGGTACAATGTTGGCGATGCGTTGTATTTCCTAGAAAGAGCTGATATTTACCGTAAAAACGGAATTTTACAGCTTCTTTGTTTCATCTGTTTATGGACTAAATACTGGAATTCAAAAATGGAACGATATCTGATATGTGATGGGGAACCTTCCTCTGTTGAGTTTTATGAAAGCGGCAGTGAATATAACTATATTTTTGAAGTAATCGAAATATCTTCGACTGAAGCCCACTTTGATAGCACTTCTCGAAGACCAAAATGCAGACAATAGTCATTTTCTATACGTTTCAGAACACAATCCTCATTTGGGATGTTTGTTTCAATTTAATCTAAAATCGTTTCCATGTTAAAGGACAAATGAGGAGAGATTTTCTTTCCAGGGTTAATTACAGTGTACAAATTTTGAATTTAAAAGTGCCAGACACCGCTACAGGATTTCGAAAGAGTTGACCGCTATGAGATGGCACTTTAAAGGGCCTCGCTGAACTGAAGTGGTTAGGTTTTGTTAGGTTTTCGAAGTGTCATAGGCATCTGTCATCAAATGGCATCACCTAGTAAAAATCACTGGAAGCAATCAAACGGCTCGTCTGATGTCATTAGTCATTAAAAAAGGAAAAAAAAAACTTGGAGAGTTATAGGAATTTCTGTTCAACAAAAGGTGGAAAAGTTAAGCTTTGGGCATTTATAAATTCTTGAAGGATGAGCAATGCATTTATCTCCAATCGTAACGTCAAAAATATGATTCAGTGTATAATCAACTCCCTTCGACTGTGTTGTGAGCTCAAACAAATCTTCACAATTTTAAGCCCAATTCGTAAAATTCGAAGGAATACTAACGATGGTAGTTGATGGCAAGGATATAGCAATTGGGATAGTAATAGAAACCATAATGATAAGAAGCTGGTTTTAGACTACGTTTACTCAAGGGGTGCAAAGAATACCAAGCCTTTTGTGCTCAAACATTTATTTTTAATGTTTCTAGCAGCAAGATAACCCTAGGGTACTTTGGTTTGCTCGGTGCGCATAGTTTCACTCGGCAGGACATCTGGAATAAAATTTTGACTCGTTCTCAGCCTAGTAGCTAATTTTCCTTGGCAACGAACTACGAAAGCTTTGCCATATCCAGCGGAAATTAAAATGCACATGTGGAAGAATTAGGACGAGTGGTAGTGCGTAGTAAAATGAAGTATCTCTGGATCGACTTTCTATTAACCTCGGCATTGGAATATGAATGCGTCGTTTTCTTTTTCAGCAATCACGAGGTTGTTATACAGCATAGATTTACTTCCATAGAAAAACACAATAGAGTTTAACAGTAGCTGATGTTTCGGCAGTATCGCTTTCTTCAGAGCCGCTTTGGTTACAGTCGCGTATCCTAGAAAACGACGCATTCATATTCGAATGCTGAGGTTAATAGAAAGCCGATCCTAAAGTATCTCTCTTCTTTGGCCTTTCTTTACTTTCCCGATCTTCGCTATTGTTTTCCAGACGGAACGTGGTAAAATAGTACGAAGTCTACTGAGATCCCACTTGAGTCTCCCTTGTTTTTCGCTCCTCTGAATCTACTGTGCTTAGTTGATACGGTATGCGCCTGGCGTCGAATGCACAGAGGATTGAGCTGAGTGCTTGGGGTTGTTGTAAAGGTCGCCTTGCGATGATGCTTTGATGGATGAGTAGGCTGAGCGTAACAGGGAAAAGCTGAGTTATGAACGGATAGAGGTGAAACGCGAACGGGGATGAGCTGGAATAAGAAAAATGAGAAGAGGATGGGGATAAGGGCTGTGAGTGATGAGAAGTGGCGAATGAATCGCCAGAGAAAAACGGAAAAACACCTTGAAAAGCTTAATTGTGGAGGTAATAGACAGAAAATAAGAGCAGACATAACGGTTACAAAACTAAAGAATAAAGGGCACTTCTCAGGAAGAATCGTTTCTAATCAATTTTGCCTGGTTTGGCAAAATCACAAGGAGAGCCGTATGATAAAATATTTGACAAGGAAAAAAGAACAATAACGATGTATGAAAGGGATTATTCATAAGAATGAACTCAGTAGTGGAAATATTCTTAAACCATTGGTAGGTCCACTGCAGATAAAAACTGTGCTAAAATAAATAAGTAAATATTTCCTGTAGAAGACAAAACGGGAGAAATAGACTGAAAATTGGGAAGGTAAGGCAAGGTAGAAAATGCTTAGAACGAAAAGGATAGAGAAAGAGAGAAGAAAATAGTCGAGGAAAAGAAAGAGAAGAGAGACGGAAGAAAACACACCATTGTTGTGCAAATACAATAAGAAAGCTTCCACAGAATAAATGTGCACAGTATGAGAAAGGCATTTCCAACCTAGCCCATTCACTTAGCTTTTTTGTTTGTTTGTTAACTCTGACGCTTTTCTGATAATATAAGAAAAATACTACTGTTTCCGATGTTGCAGCGGATACAGTGAAACTGATAAGCAGGATTAAACAAAGGCTTTCTTTCATTTTCACTATTGATAATAATCTCTTACGTTGATCGTTGCTTGAGTATATGGCAGTCGTGGTCGATCGGCCATAGTGACGACGTCTTCAGCACATTCACGATCGAGTTCTTCCTGAACGCGACGCTGTACATGTGGGTTCAGGATGACCAGAAGGAAGCCCCATTTCAAAGTAGTGGCTGTCGTTTCCATGCCGGCAAATAATAGGTCGAAAAGCAGCATCTTCATCTGCCATTCACTAAAAAGTCCATGTTCAAAGTGGAAAGTAGTGTGAACCTTTCCTTTGTAGTTAACACTTTGAGATATTTGACGTATGCAACGGACATTGCTTGATCCATTTAAAATTCCTGAAGGTCAAAATTCGACAAAACTATTTGTGAATTGAACCTGCAAGTGTAAACTACTTCAATTTGAAACGATAAATGGAGGCATAGTAATTAGAATGCTTTTTGAAAGTAGAATTAATATTATGTCAATCTACAGCACTATTGTTTTTTGAAAATAGTGATGTATGCGAGTAATGACGGCTCATATTGAAGCCAGGATTTGAGAAAGCTTTCATTTTGGCTTCTGGAAAATTTCATTCCATTGGCTGATCAGCACACTTCATCATCTTCACATTCAAATTCTTCCAAAAACACAATTTCTCGCGCGGGGGGCCAAGCAGAGTACTTTTTTATATCTCCGTAGTTTTCCTTTCTTAGAACAGGGCCACCTCACGGATATCTCACATTGGACGCGCACTCCACTGAGAGACAGAGTTATGGTATATTATACGAGGGTACCAGAGGGAAACCCTGACTTAACATTGGCTGTGATCTGTAAATGATGCGCATCGCTTTGGACATAGCGTAAAATTCTACGTGTGTTTAGCTACCAAAGTAAAGGAAGAAAAAGGAAATTGAGCCTGACAAGTTACGTAGTGTAGTAATCGGGATCCATCGATTTCTTCTACCTCTATGTCATTAAACCTTGACTAAACCCATTTAAAAGGTTTGTAGATTGTTTGCCACTCAATTGCTGGTCGTTCATTTTAAGACTGCAGTTTCTTGCTTAACTGCGCTTGCATTCAATCGCTTCGTCGTCCAGTCTTTCGCAATACTCTGTGAACTTCATCTCTTTGAGCCTCCATGTTCGTTATTTCAATGAAGCATTCAAGAAGGCATAAATCCGTCGACTAGATTAGAAGTCGACTAGATGTCCGTTCTTTCACTTACACTTCTTCATTCAAATTGAACGATTTCAAATGCCCACCCTAGAGGTGTTCTAAAAAACCTCAAGGAGTTCATGTTTCTCCGGCTGCTTTCTTTTTAGCACTGGAATTTTAAAGTGTGGGTGTAGTGCATGTAGTGCAAAAGTGTAAAATTCTTAAAGTAAGCCACATTGGCGAGTATTGTTAGTGACGCTTCAGATGTAAAAAATGTCCATACATTGGAAACCCAGTGAATACAGAACTGTCTTCAATTGAACAGCGGCTAAGAAATGATCCATCTTGGAAAAACTGAAATCAATTGATGGATAAATAGATATTACATAGATATCACACAAACGGCTTGCTTATTTTTCCTCATAAAAACCAAGTTTAACTGAAGATTTCCTGACACAGGGTTTAAAACTATATACCAATTATGAAAACAGCAGTTATCATACAATAATGATGGGTGATTGCTGATGGTACTGATCGATAGAAAACTAGCTGAGAGACAGGCGAAACGAAGGACCCGCATGGTGAGGTGGTGAACGCGTTATCCTCCAGAAAGGGTAATAGCGCGTTCGTTCCCCACCGCAGACACCTGCGGTCCGGAGTTTTCCAAATATCTCAGCATCATTGTGATTGTATCCCATACAATGCTCTGCTTTGATTGCAATAGGCAGTAAATAAGAAGTTAACATTATCATAACAATAGTTATATTGGAGAATTGAACACAAAGGCTACCGATTTTATGCTATTAGTTCACCACTATTTCATTTCTCAATTGCTTGAAAATCGATGGGTTTGAAATAATTTCTGCTGGTGACTGTGAGACATCTGATCTTGACAGATTGTTCCGAATTCAGAATTGGTCAGAGACATCGGTAATTAGGTGCATCAGCAAAGCAGTTAAACGAATGGCGATTGAGCACCGCTAAGGATTCATCTATGTTGTACCTGAGCGTTACTGCATAGTTTACATAGATTGGAGAACACCAAATCGCTCTGAGATGAACTACTGACATTTCGCAGATGTACACCTTTTTCTGCCGGAATGAGACGACTGGATATTAGCTCTTGTTGTGTATCGCCTACTTCAACGTCCAAGTACATTGACGTCATTGCCAATAGTGAGCAAAGTTCACCACATTGACGTCCTTTGATATATGAGCTTTGACGAAAGAACGGAGTAGGTTTTTTGTGCCAGGAAATCGGACCCTCTTTGACGTATTAACCCGAAAAATGCTTGGATTTCAAGGATGCGAAAGCAAATCTAGTGCAAATTCTCTTCAGATTTTAGGAAAAGACCAAATTTGTTTAACATTTCCAAAATTATACTGTTGCCGAAGAATTTCTGGCAGCTGTACAGTGTGAAGAAATAAAGATAAAGAGTAGGATTTACAAGTGCAAAGATCTTTCAATAAAGAACGAAGGAAGGTTCGGATTTCCTAAGAAGATTTATTGGATAAGACGAGTTCCTTACGATTTACCGATATGAACGGAAAACAGAATGACTGAAATTTGAAGAAAATGAAGGCAAGCATCCGTGCCAATGAAAGAAAAACCTAGAATCGGCACTGCATGGAAAGCTTAGCAAAAAAGAAATAAAAGAACTAAAACGTGAACATATCAATTTTAGAAGGGACGCTGATGAGAAATCTATCAAGAGTTCAACTTCCTATGCCATTATTTGCTAAAACTCACTTAAAGTAGCCCATATCGGTACCGGTTAGGCGACGTTTCTCCATCTCACGCATGTACGCGAAGGTGAGGTCGTCCTCAAGTACGCCGTCAGTGGCAAGCTGCCGATGATGTGACTAAATGAGGACAATATCCTGAATACTACATCTTAATGATGGATCCTGGAAAAAGCAAGTACACACATCAATTTGCTTTTGGAGAAAATCCCAAAGTTGTTGCCGAATTTGCATTAGTTCGCACCATTTGTCATTAAGCAAAGGGATATCAGTCGTCCATGGTGCAGCAATGTACAGTCCCATTATAGGCTTAACGACGAGATGAGATTGTCGATCTAACAGCGAGTGTAAACGAACGATTTCCGTGGAACCCTGTAAATCACTCTGATGATGTTCTGAAGAAATGACTCCTCAGCGATACTTAATGTGGTGAAAAGGTTCTCTAAAAAGCAGGCTAGTCGGTCTCATATTTGTTTGGTACGTTAACTTTAAACTAACGTTCATGACCCATGTAAGAAATATTGAGAGATTATAATCCATTTGTCCACTTTCAAGCTAAAAAAATCTTTCTATCAGTAAGTTTACCTAAATATAAGGCATTGCCAGGAATCGTCGTCAAAGGTAACAGTTAAGATACAAAATGGAAAACTTCTCATATAGTCGGCCTACTACCCGCGGCGATGACTTAGGAAAGTTTTCACACGGCTATCCCGAGAATCACGGCTCTTCAGCTATCACAATATGCCCGTATTTATTAAAAGTTGCTTCTTTAGCCCTTTTATTTACTGCCTATTCTTTTTAATGGCAGAGTATGTTGCGAAATATAACTTCTACAATGCTGAGATATTTGCAAAACTCCGGACCGCAGGTGTCTGCGGTGGGGAACGAACACGCTACTCTCCTTTCCGGGGAGCTACGCGTTCACCACCACACCATGCGGACTCTTCGTTTCGCCTGTCTCTCAGCGAGTTGCTTTATTTTTTACTTTTTAAAGTACCCGACATTAGGCATTGTGCGAGTCCCAGCACTTCTCGAATTCGATTCGTTTACTTCCATCAGTATTCTAGGATGGTTTTCTGATTTTATGGATAGCTTGCCTTGCTGGTTGAGGATTTCTGGTCTTCTGAATGTCGTTGAATGCTGTTCACCTTGATTCCACTTGGAATGCTATGAGAGCCGTGCTAGTACGTTTCCAGATCATCATTGCAGGCAGTTGTTAACGGCTTTTTCTTGATTTCAAAAGGCTAAACGTTCCCATAAAAGTCTACTGATGACTTTCGACCCTTGTAGGTTGGTGGCACGGGTGATCAGCAGCGAGATCGAAAGACGCCATTGATAGTGCTGAACGGTGCCATTAGCACTGCAATGTCCGCGCCCCATTTAAACTATTAGCTCCTTATAGTAATTCCCATGACCGACTTTCTGTTAACCTCGGCATTAATTGATAATTCAATGTTTTTCATCAATAAGCAGACACG